TACCTTTATTAGGTTGGTCTTTTCCTTGGTACAGGTTCACTCCCGGATTCTTGATCACATCCATGTGAATCTTTAACATATCTTGTGCTTTGCTGACCGTCTTTGGATAATAATCCACTTCCCTGCAACAGCTCCTCTGAAGCGCTAAAGGCACTCACGATAGAGCACATTTTGCTTTATTCTAACATTCAATCACAAAAGTGAGTTCGACGATTTTCCCTTGGAAAATCCCTTGTTTACACAACTCGATTCGACTTCTACGGCAATTCTGTGTTGAATGCAGTACTTTGGGATATCTTGCATTATTCCCTACTGCATCGTACACAACATCAATATTCCACTTGTACAGGATCTTTTCCTGTTTGTGTGGATACAGATTGTCCGACAGACTCGCGTCCGGCATACTTGCGTCGAATCCCGACATCTTGCACGATCAAATTCCGATCGCACGTGTCAAAAACCTTGTACTTGAATAGTTTCTTTTGGAACGTAAAAACTCATATTTTGTCATATCCCAACAACCCTACTGGAAAAATGCCAATTTTTGGAAATATGCTTGACTTTTCCACGACACAACAATACATTGCCATAATGCCAACTTGCCTTCCAAGTTTTTACTATGCTAGCAATCATAATAAAATGACTTAATATATCAACCAATGGACCGTCAAATAAGCCATGTGTCATTTGCACGTTCATTTCACAACCTGGACGTACAGAAAGAAGCCCAAGATATCACATTGAAATGGATGTCAAAGATGGTGCTGCATATTGTCGTCCATCACAAGGCTTTACACACACAGTCAAGACGATTTGCACCCGCCTTAATGATAAGTTTCCTGCAGGTGGTCCTCACAATCCTGTTGTCGGTGTCGATCTCTCGTGTTGGCTCATAGCTGCTCCTTTAAGCACAAGCCAGCTGTTCAACAATTCTTTATGGAAAGGAAGGTTCCAGTCACCCATGTTGTCAATTACGTTTTTAAGCATGTTGATCTTTTGATAAGAAATGGATTTGGTGTCCTGCTAATATTTGATGGAGCTTCAAATCCAACAAAGAAGGCAACCAACAATGATAGGAGTTCAGTCGTAACAGATGCCAAAGAATGGATCGAATGGATGTATTCCAATCCCAACAAAACCAATCTTCAAAAACTTTCTAAGCTACAACAAACTGCAGTGGAAGTTCAAAAAGATGTCTTGGATATGGTTTTTGTCCGTCTGTACTTGTGAAAATTTCATGAAATTTCATGTGCGAAACAATTTGTCAGAATTTTTTATTAAATAGCTTCACGTTCTGTTTTTTGGCCTGGAGACAGACAGACGTATCAACACAGTTATCATAATTATACGAACGCCCTTTCTAAATGTTACACAGTCTATAACCACTAACACTACATTTCCGGGAATTAATTTCCCAAGACCAAACGGTTTTCGCGCCGTAGTTAGTCTACACGGGCCACGAATTTTGCGTGGTTTTCTTACGGCGCGACTCGTATAAAGTGCGGACAACATAAAACTTCCTGGAATCGGTATTGTATTTATACCGATTAATAGTTATAAAACACACAAAATTCTCAACTACGAGTATACCCAAAACAGAAGCCTTCCCGGGAACCAATCTTCCAAGATCCGAAAGTATCATGTGCCCCGCGGGGATGTACGTACGTTAAGTACGGCGCATTTATTTTGGTGGCTATGCTTCGGTTTGGGCTGCAGAATCGATCACTATCGACCCAATCCCATTGAGAAAATTAACTTGATTGCACTATGCTTTGAGAGTTGAGTCAAAGCCTAGCCATAATCCAAAAGAAATAAAAGGGTAGAGTGCCGCAGACTGCCAATCATAGACAGTTTGTTTTAATAGTACCAGTACAATTCGCCTTTCAGGGCACCATGCCGAACAACGATGATGACAATGATAGCAGAACTGAACCTCAGGATCAAGAAGTGGAAACCAACATCTCAGTGGTTGTTGGCTATGCATTCGGTCCGAAGAAAATGAAATCGATGGGATTTGTCATGGCGGAAGCGTCCCGTGCTGAATTTGTCATGGTGGAAGCACCCCGTGCTGAAGTAATTTCAGAAGAAGACGATAGCTGTGATGAACATCAACATTTTCAGTGCCTCGTAGCACCCCAGACTGTCTTCCCAGTACTTGGGATCGAGAAAAGTATCCAGTCAAGCCTTACCACTGAATCTCTGCGATGTTTGGAGAAAGCGAGCAAAAAAAGTTCAAATCTAAAAGGATTCTTGAGGCATTTCTGGTCGACTTGTTCTTCGAACGGTGGCTCCGTCACCGAAACTGCTTCTTCTACACCGACGACATGTGCACCAATAGCTTCAAGACCGAGGCTATCGATTCAAATATCCTTTGTCCCGTTGGACCCCAATTCTCCTTTTGAAGACCAATGCGGGCGGGACCTCGACCTAATACTTCACAAACTCACTGAAGACATCCTGAGTTGCACGCTTGGAAACTGCGATCCTTTAGCACGTGCAAGAGTGGAAAGACTTTCTCAGTATCAGAGGAATCATCCAAATTGCTGCATGCTTGATGACCCGAAAAATGTAATGACTTTGATGAGTCGATCGGACATTGCTATGAGACTTCATATTTGTTTGAAGGGCGTCACAACTGCAAATGGAATTGTGGTGCATGCTCCAAAGTATATTGTCATTAAGGAAGATACTTCACAGCTACGCAAGCAGCTCAGTAGCGCTGGTCTCACACTCCCGCTAATTGTCAAACCTCTTGTAGCTGCAGGCACGAAGCAATCTCACCACATGACAATTGCAGTAAAAGAATCTGCCATCCTAAATGGAATACCATCCAATTCTTTGATTCAGGAATACGTCAATCACAACCAAAAATTATACAAGGTTTACGTGATGGGAACGAGGGTACATGTTTACGAACGAGCATCCCTCCCAAACTTGCCGGCAGATGTGGCTGAAAAAGCATCCACAGACCTCGTAAAGTTTGATTCTCAGCACCCTTATCCTCAGTTGAAGGATTTTGGCATCTCATCTTGCAATAAATCACCAATGACTAGATTAATGCCAGTCACACCAGATGAAGTTATGCCGCTTGTTGTTTCTTTGAAACGGGCTTTCGGATTAGAGCTTTTTGGATTCGACATCCTTATATCCAGTGACCATAACGAGTGGCTGGTAGTTGATGTGAATTACTTTCCTTCCTACAAAGAAGTACCTGATTTTCCACAACAACTCGCAAACTATCTCGCGCAACGTGTTTTGAGACAACGTTGTCAGAACATGGAATCCTCTTATAACTGATTACATCACAATGACAAGGGCACCGTGGTTGCCCTTTACGAGAAAGCTGTGCAGATATGGAAGAGCTATCTTTTGCAGTCAGTTTGTCCTGCATATATATGTCAAAGCTCACAGCGTATCACAGATAGCCGTTACAAGTTAGCACTTCAACAAAAAGGCTCTTTGCAAAAAGGGCCCTTCAAGGTATCGCATGCGTAGGGTGCAATAATAGTTGACCCGCTGAGGACCTATGCAGAAGCAGAAGTATCCATACAAAACGATTCATTCAGGAGGATGAGCCATGAGTAGAGTGGAACAATAGTTGCTTGGACAACCAAATGCTACTCTACAGCAATCATCTTGCATTCGACCCTTCCCCGTCTGTCATTGGTATGCAGGGAACCAGCTCTCCAGGGGAGGGGGAATGGGTATAGAGCTTGTTTGGGGGTATTGTTTCATGAGTAGAGTGGAACAATAGTTGACCCTCCGACAACCAAATGCTACTCTACAGCAATCATCTTGCATTCGATCCTTCCCCGTCTGTCATTGGTGTGCAGGGAACCAGCTCTCCAGGGGAGGGGGAATGGGTATAGAGCTTGTTTGGGGGTATTGTTTGGGGGTATCATACCGTAGAGTATGGCATAATGGTACAGTAGTAATAGTATTTCATAGTACACCCAGCAGATTTGGCGGTACTACGTAGGGATACTGTACGTGGTAGGCATGGAGATTTAGTTGTGGCAAATTTGTGGCATGGGCAAAGAAGAAAAGTGATAGATATATTAAAAACCAGGTGAAGACAAAGCGCCTGTGTATCCAAATCAAATCCTTCTCGCTTTCAACAAGCAACTGAACGAGAAAAGGATTTTTGGATTGCGGCCAGTTAAATAGAGTCGCGGAGCAAACCAAAAACAACAAGCAAGCCGAAGCAGTACAACTTATAACCCAAATGCTACAAGACAGATTTGGGTGCAAAAACCCAAAGCCTTGGCAAATCGACACCATCGTTGATGTTATGCTCAACACAATTTTTGTCGGAACATTGATCCGTCTGACCAGAGACAGTAAATCCCTTGCTATACAAGGATGTGCTATGAGCTGCCCTGGTGTCAGTCTAATCATCACACCTTCCATTTTTGTTGGGATATGACAAAATGAGTTTTTGTTCCAAAAGAAACTCAAGTCTGCCTGACAATCTATATCCACACAAAAAGGGAAAGACCCTATACAAGTGGAATATCGATGTTGTGTACAATGCAGTAGGGAATACTACAAGATGTCCCAAAGTACTGCATTCAACATAGAATCCTCGTAGAAGTCGAATCGAGTTCTGTAAACAAGGGATTTTCCAAGGGAAAATTGTTGAACTCACTTTTGTGATTGAATCATCAATTCAAGCCAAACATTAATCAAATAGGAACAATTTCACTCAAAGTATACCTAACACAGGAGAACTATTGTTGTGAAAGTGTTGTACAATCGATTACAAATTTAGATTGCAGAGACTTTGTTCTGAGCGCTAAAGGCACTCACGATAGAGCACATTTTGCTTTATTCTAACATTCAATCACAAAAGGCAACAAAACAAATATACGTCAAGAACAGCACTGCCTTATCTACAAAGGAGTGAGTGATTCGTTGACAATGGGACATTCTTCTTCCGGTGGAGGAAAAGGACGTGTGACTCCTCAGAAAGTCAAGAGCAATTCGAGTTCAACAGTTGTGAAACATCTATTTTCAACTAAAGATGAAAACGATGGAAAGGCAAGATCGTCGTACAAAGATGCCAAAGAAAGAGTGATTGATTACATCCAAGCTTCTGGAATGAAATGCTCAGAAGACATGGTGAAATCTATTCAAGATGGAAAGTCGATCGACTTCAATGCAATTGCTCCAACATTGAATGCTCCAACTCAAACTGAAGCTGTTGCAAGAGAAACAGAGATGGCTCAAAACAAGATTCTCTATTCTGCAAAGCTTGACGAGAAAATGTGAAGATCAGCCTACTTCGAAACAAACAAGAGAACCGTCAAATCAAACATCATGCTTAAGTTTGTGACGAAAGAGATGGATATCAAGCTTTGAAGTGAAGCCGATTTCACGACTACTCTTGAAGATCCAATCAAACTCTTGAAACGTATTGAACGATTCATGAAGAAGAGTGCTGATGCTGAGTATGACTTCTTGGATTTCTGGGAAGCCAATCAAAAGTTCTTTGCTATGAAGCAGGGAACAACCGAAAACTTGATGCATTTCAAGGAGTGATTCTTGAGACAGGCTGAAGTCCTACAAGATCTATATGGCGTTGCCTGGTTCCAAAATTTTGCAGTCAAGACAAAAGCGTATGCTGCTATTGCTAGCACCGATACTACTGCTAGAGACAAGTTCAAGGATGATATCTTTGAAGCAGTTCTTGCAACAGGATTCCTGTGCAACTGTGATCAAACGAGAACAGCTCCTCTGATGCTGGATCTTCAGACAAACTACTGCAGGGAAGTGGATTATTATCCAAAGACGGTCAGCAAAGCACAAGATATGTTGAAGATTCACATGGATGTGATCAAGAATCCGGGAGTGAACCTTTACCAAGGAAAAGACCAGCCAAATAAAGGTAAAGGTAAACCAAAGGACAATAAGAAAAAGGCAGCATGTTATGTATGTGGCAAAGAGGACCATATGTCTCCAAAATGCCCAGACAGACTGCTACCAGAGAGTCAATGGAAGCATCTGAAACACTATGTTGATTACAAGAAGAAGCTCAATCTAAATCAGATTGGAGCAACTGTCCCAACTACAGCTACAGTTCCTGGAACCTCACCAGCAACAAGTGTGATCACGGGTGGAACATTGAGTGTTGCGGGAAGCGCTAACACACCTTTGCGACTTGCTGGTACTACAGGTAATCAAATGATTCAAGTTCCTACAGGTAATCAAATGATGCAAGTTCCTTGGGGAATGCAGCTCATGCAGATTCCAACTCAAGGTGGCGGCACTGTGACTGTCCCTTACTCTATGAATGCTAACGGTGAGATTGCGTTCAGTGGAATGCAACTCAGCCAACAAGGCTTCAGTGGTGCTCAAGTGCGCCAAGGATTCGATGCAACTCAAGCTGGCTATTATGCTATGTCAAATGTCTTTCACGATGCTATCAAGGGAAAGGATGAGAATGGCAATGATGTCTATCTTATTCCATGTCCTACTGGAATGAATAACGTCGAACTTCAATCCGACTGGCACTACGCTAGTAAAAGTGAAGACTTGCCAGATCTTGCTACTGAAGCAGATCAAGGTATGCAGTTTATTCAAAGCCGCAGAATCAAAAGAGATCCGTTTGGTTTGCTCAATCACGTCACCATGGACAGTGGTTGCACCAACACCACCATTTGTAATGGTGAACTCATGCATGGACTACGTCAAGCTGAGAAAGAACTCAATATGCACACTAACGTGGGCAGCAGAGTTCTCGATGAAGAAGGGTTTCTAGGAAGATTTCAGCCTCCAGTAGTTGGATTTCGGTTCTGGCAGACATCAGACAAGCGACAGGCTTGTCGTCGTCCAAACCGATTGACAACTTTGTGGCCCATAAAGCCATCATTGCCAACCAGCCGTGCCAACATGCAACCCATCAAGTCGTCATGCAGAGGCACTAACCATAGCGATCTCCGATCCGTCTAATAGGAAATAATCATCTCTACAGGAAATAACTATTCTAAAAGACTTGTTATCTACATGGAATGGGCAAAGCAA